TGACACAGAAATATGGTGGGAGACCCAGGAGGACCCCACTGCTGACACAGAAATATGGTAGGAGACCCAGGAGGACCCCACTGCTGACACAGGAATATGGTACCAGAGGACCCCACCGCTATGGTAGGAGACCCAGGAGGACCCCACTGCTGACACAGGAATATGGTAGGAGACCCAGGAGGACCCCACCGCTGACACAGAAATACGGGAGGAGACCCAGGAGGAGCCCACTGCTGACACAGAAATATGGGGGAGACCCAGGAGGACCCCACCGCTGACACAGAAATATGGTGGGAGACCCAGGAGGAGCCCACTGCTGACACAGAAATATGGGAGGAGACCCAGGAGGACCCACTGCTGACACAGAAATATGGTGGAGACCCAGGAGGACCCCACTGCTGACACAGAAATATGGTAGGAGACCCAGGAGGACCCAGGACACAGAAATCCCAGGAGGACCCCACTGCTGACACAGAAATATGGTAGGAGACCCAGGAGGACCCCAGTGCTGACACAGATATATGGTAGGAGACCCAGGAGGACCCCACTGCTGACACAGAAATATGGTAGGAGACCCAGGAGGACCCCACTGCTGACACAGAAATATGGTAGGAGACCCAGGAGGACCCCACTGCTGACACAGAAATATGGTAGGAGACCCAGGAGGACCCCACTGCTGACACAGAAATATGGTAGGAGACCCAGGAGGAGGACTCCACTGCTGAGACAGAAATATTGTAGGAGACCCAGGAGGACCCCACTGCTGACACAGAAATATGGTGGGAGACCCAGGAGGACCCCACTGCTGACACAGAAATATGGTGGGAGACCCAGGAGGACCCCACTGCTGACACAGAAATATGGTGGGAGACCCAGGAGGACCCCACTGCTGACACAGAAATATGGTGGGAGACCCAGGAGGACCCCACTGCTGACACAGAGACATAAAAAGCCAGATTGGAGTTTGCCAAAACTTACCTGAGGAAGCCAAAATCCTTTTGGGGGAATGTGCTGTGGGCAGACGAAACAAAATGGCAGCTTTTTGGTAAAGCCCATCATTCTACTGTTTTCAGAGAAAGCAATGAGACCTTTACAGAAAATAATCCAGTCCCTACTGTCACACATAGTGGGGGGTCACTGTTGTTTTGGGGTTGCTTTGCTGCTTCAGGCACTGGATGTCTTGGACGTGTGCATGGCAATATCAAATCTGAAGACTACCAAATAATTCTGGGGTGCAATGTAGGGCCCGGTGTCAGAAAGTTGGGTCTCCGTCAGAGGTCATGGGTCTTCCAGCAGGACAATCACCCAAAGCACACGGCAAAGAGCCCCCAGAAATGGTTTCAGACAAAGCGCTGGAGAGGACTGAACTGTCCAGCAATGAGTCCAGATCTCAATCCCATAGAGCTCCTGTGGAGAGATCTCAGAACAGCAGTTGGGAAAAGGAACCCTTCCAATATTAGAGACCCGGAGCAGTTGGCGGAAGAAGAGCGATCCAAAATTCCAGTAGAGAGGTGGAAGAAACTCATTGATGGTTACAGGAAGCCATTGACTTCACCTATTTTTTTCCAAGAGGTGTGCCACCAAATATTACATTGAAGGTGCCAATAATTTTGTCCAGTCCATCTTGGTGGTTTTGGGTGGAATGTGTCAGACTTGTGTTGTTTTATTTTTTGAAGTGCGTTATCTGATAGAAATGCAGGGGGGGGGGGGGGCGCGGAAATCTCTCTCTCTCTCCTCTCCCCCCCCCGAGATATAAGATGCTGATGGGTGAATGATCCGACCAGACTTCAATTTATAGCTGAATGATCTCTGTGACACCGGGTCTCTTTTGAACAGGCAGACACGGATTTCTGGGACAAGTTGCAGGAAGAGTGGGAGGAGATGGCGAAGCGGGACGCAGAGGCTCATCCATGGCTCTCCGACTTCCAGGACCTGACCGCCAAATCCTATGACAAGGTGATGAGCGTTTTGTGTGTATTAGTCCAGGCTGCTCTCCCCCAACCTGTACACTTGTCTGGGTGCAAGGCTAGAAGTGCCTGCTACAAATAGAGAGCCTGATATTGGTATGAAATATTTATTGCATAAAATACAAACAACGCTTTTCGGGGCAAGGGCACCCTTCTTCAGGGCTTAAATGTCGAAATGAAAGTAGTCGGCCATTTTCATTTCCAGGCGGATGAGGTGATATCTCAGCTTTTTTTTTTTTTGTGCATTAAAATAGGCATAGGAAATGAATTCCATCCAGGTTACTTTAAAATTCCTACTTTGAAACCCCGAGAAAGGGGGGAGCACTTACCTGAAACCAGAGGCGTAACTAGAATCTTCAGGGTCCTGGTGCAAGAAACCATGAAGGGTCCCCTGACACCCACCCCCCCCCCCCTGCCTATGCCTTTCTCTCTGAGCCTGGAGCCCTTCCCACTGATCCCAGGACCCTTTACTGCTGTTGTGGAACTCTTTATCACAGTCCCACAATGACCCGGAGGGGGCAGTGTGATGGGGGGATGGGGGGTGGACACTGTGACAGGAGGGGGGCAGTATGAGGAAAAACATCCTGACAGGAGAGGGGCAGTATGATGGAGGGGGGCACTGTGACAGCAGGGGGGGAATTATGAGGAGGGGGGCATCATGAGTGGGGGCAGTGTGACAGGAGGGGAGCAGTATGATTAGGGGGGGCACTGGGACAGGAGGGGGGCAATATGAGGGAGGGCATCCTGACAGGAGCGGAGCAGTATGATGGGGGCACTGTGACAGGAGGGGGGAAGTGTGACAGGAAGGGGGCAGTAAAAAGGAGGACATCCTGACAGAAGAAGGCAGTATGAGTGGGGGCAGTGTGACAGGAGGGGGGCAGTATGAGGGGGGACATCCTGACAGAAGGGGGGCAGTATGAGTGGGGGCAGTGTGACAGGAGGGGGGGGGGGGCAGTATGGGGGGGACATCCTGACAGAGGAGGAGGGCATCCTGAGTGGGGGCAGTGTGACAGGGGGGGGCAGTATGAGTGAGGACAGGACAGGGGGGGGCAGTATGAGTGGGGTCAGTGTGACAGGAGGGGGGGGCAGTATAGGAGGGGGACATCCTGACAGAAGGGGGGCAGTATGAGTGGGGGCAGTGTGACAGGAGGGGGGGGCAGTATGAGGGAGGACATCCTGACAGGAGGGGGGGGGAGGGGGCAGTATGAGTGGGAGCAGTGTGACAGGAGGGGGGGGGGCAGTATATCGGGGAGGGGCAGTATGAGGGAGGACATCCTGACAGGAGGAGGGCAATATGAGTGGGGGCAGTGTGACAGGAGGGGGGGGGGCAGTATGAGTGGGAGACATCCTGACAGGAGGGGGGTAGTGTGACAGGAGGGGGGGCAGTATGAGTGGGGGAAGTGTGACAGGAGGGGGGCAGTATGAGGGGGGACATCCTGACAGGAGGGGGCAGTACAACAGTAGGACATCTGGACACACTATACCGGCTCCGGTGCTGGGCACCGAGTATTGGACTCCGGAATCTGCTGTGGCAATGAATATGCAGCCTGGGCCAGGGAGCATTTCTCTTGCCTTACCCAGGAGCAGGAGCATCTTCAAGGCAAGAAATGGGAGTTGGCAGTCTAACGTCACATCGTGGCTCATGGCTGTTGGAAATGGCTAGCACCAGGCTGGATAGGAGGGGTGGCATATGGAAGAACCGATCTCCATTTTATTCTCCTGGCTCCTGCAGGACTTGCAACGCAGGGAATTACTTCTTCTATCTGCCTCCCTCCTGTCCAGATGTAGACGGGGAAGCCGCACAGGCCCCCTTGAGTCACTGCCTGAAACATGTTGGCTGTTTTTATTCACTAAACGTTTCACCTATCGGACTGTTTGTAGCAGGTGCTCCTAATCTTATACCCAAAAACAGGTTATCGGGTGATTCATTCACCACTATCAGAGAGGTAGGAGCCTATGATCAGGTCACTTCTCACCACACCTTGACTGTAGATCATCCGTTCTCAGCTAGGGTTCCTCCAGAGTTTGTGAAGGGTTCCTTGAGCTGTGGCTGATTGAACTCCTAGTTAATGGTGTTTACATAGTTCAGAGGCCAACACAGCTTGGCAGAACCAGCATCATGACACCAATTATCTTTTATAGCTGTGTGTAAGGAGCATTCTTCCCACTGACCCCCAATGTAAGGAGCATTCTTCCCACTTACCCCCAATGTAAGGGGCATTCTTCTCACTTACCCCCAATGTAAGGAACATTCTATTCTTCTCACTTGCCCCCAATGTAAGGGGCATTCTTCCCACTGACCCCCAATGTAAGGAACATTCTTCTCACTTGCCCCCAATGTAAGGGGCATCATTCTTCCCACTGACCCCCAATGTAAGGGACATTCTTCCCCACTGACCCCCAATGTAAGGGACATTCTTCCCACTGACCCCCAATGTAAGGGACATTCTTCCCACTGACCCCCAATGTAAGGGGCATTCTTCCCACTGACCCCCAATGTAAGGGGCATTCTTCCCACTGACCCCCAATGTAAGGGGCATTCTTCCCACTGACTGACCCCCCCCCAATGTAAGGGGCATTCTTCCCACTGACCCCCAATGTAAGGGACATTCTTCTCACTGACCACCAATGTAAGGGGCATTCTTCCACTGACCCCCAATGTAAGGGACATTCTTCCCACTGACCCCCAATGTAAGGACATTCTTCCCACTGACCCCCAATGTAAGGGACATTCTTCCCACTGACCCCCCAATGTAAGGGACATTCTTCCCACTGACCCCCAATGTAAGGGACATTCTTCTCACTGACCTACAATGTAAGGGACATTCTTCTCACTGACCACCAATGTCAGGGGCATTCTTCCCACTGGCCACCAGTGTAAGGAGCATTCTTCCCACTGATCACCAATGTAAGGGGCATTCTTCCCACTGATCACCAATGTAAGGGGGGCATTCTTCCCACTGGCCACCAATGTAAGGAGCATTCTTCCCACTGACCCCCAATGTAAGGGGCATTCTTCCCACTGACCACCAATGTAAGGGACATTCTTTCCCACTGACCCCCAATGTAAGGGACATTCTTCCCACTGACCTCCAATGTAAGGGGCATTCTTCCCACTGACCACCAATGTAAGGGACATTCTTCCCACTGACCCCCAATGTAAGGGACATTCTTCCCACTGACCTCCAATGTAAGGGGCATTCTTCCCACTGACCACCAATGTAAGGGACATTCTTCCCACTGACCCCCAATGTAAGGGACATTCTTCCCACTGACCTCCAATGTAAGGGGCATTCTTCCCACTGACCACCAATGTAAGGGACATTCTTCCCACTGACCCCCAATGTAAGGGACATTCTTCCCACTGACCTCCAATGTAAGGGGCATTCTTCCCACTGACCCCCAATGTAAGGGACATTCTTCCCACTGACCCCCAATGTAAGGGACATTCTTCCCACTGACCCCAATGTAAGGGACATTCTTCCCACTGACCCCCAATGTAAGGGGCATTCTTCCCACTGACCCCCAATGTAAGGGGCATTCTTCCCACTGACCCCCAATGTAAGGGGCATTCTTCCCACTGACCCCCAATGTAAGGGGCATTCTTCCCACTGACCCCCAATGTAAGGGACATTCTTCCCACTGACCCCCAATGTAAGGGACATTCTTCTCACTGACCACCAATGTCAGGGGCATTTTTCCCACTGGCCACCAGTGTAAGGAGCATTCTTCCCACTGATCACCAATGTAAGGGGCATTCTTCCCACTGATCATCACCAATGTAAGGGCATTCTTCCCACTGACCCCAATGTAAGGGGCATTCTTCCCACTGACCCCCAATGTAAGGGACATTCTTCCCACTGACCCCCAATGTAAGGGACATTCTTCCCACTGACCTCCAATGTAAGGGGCATTCTTCCCACTGACCCCCAATGTAAGGGACATTCTTCCCACTGACCCCCAATGTAAGGGACATTCTTCCCACTGACCCCCAATGTAAGGGACATTCTTCCCACTGACCCCCAATGTAAGGGACATTCTTCCCACTGACCCCCAATGTAAGGGACATTCTTCCCACTGACCCCCAATGTAAGGGACATTCTTCCCACTGACCCCCAATGTAAGGGACATTCTTCCCACTGACCCCCAATGTAAGGGACATTCTTCCCACTGACCCCAATGTAAGGGACATTCTTCCCACTGACCCCCAATGTAAGGGACATTCTTCCCACTGACCACCAATGTAAGGGACATTCTTCCCACTGACCACCAATGTAAGGGACATTATTTCTCTCTCACATCATCTTCTTTCTCAGGGATATATCTTTGATGCTGACAATCCTTTCTCTGAAGTGGACCAGCCATTTGAAGAAGGTCTGAAACGCCTTCGGGAAGGAGACCTCCCCAGCGCAGTCAGGTGCTTTGAGACAGCGGTGCAGAGAGACCCCAAACACATGGAGGTAAGAGGAGAAATGCGGCGTCTGATATAAAGGCGTGCAACAGATGACAGCAATGTTTAGATTGGGAGAAGGCCTAATGCTTCTCATGGGTCAGGGACCACCAGTCCAGGCATGTTTGGGGGGGGGGGGGGGGGTGAATGATGCAGTCAGAAAACTGGACCATGGTCCCCTACTGTGGTCTGTGATTTCATTTGCTGGTCACTGCTATGTCCTCTAGTGATGGAGGAGCCGGTGGGAGGAACCACTGAGTGCAGCTGGGATCCAGGAAGTCTCAGATTCTGAGCCCAGGTTCACACTGATGCGGTGCGGAATTTGCAGCGTTTTCTGTGCGAATTCCGCACCGCATCAAAATCGCACCCCGTTCATGCGAACCGCTGAAGGTGTGTATGTTAACAACACCCTGAAATCGGTCCACAAAACGCGGTGCGATGTGCAGAATTGGATTGCATACGTGTGACTACCCATGCGATCCGATTCAAGTGTGAAGCCAAAAAAGGGTCCTGCACGTTTTTGGTGCGGTGCATTTAGAGCCGTACAAAATGTACGGCTCCAATCGCACCGCACACAAATCGCATGTGATTTGCACAGGAATGCGGTGCGGTTCCCGTGCGAATCACATGCGATATACCGCAGCGCATTAATGTTTACCCCGCCTGAAGGTTGTTCAGTAGTGGTATCTAGGTTGGTGGTGGGAGGGGCATACAGTTGCTCGGCTTCAAAAATGAAACCACGTCGCATTCGGTTGGCAGTACCGCCTCCAGACGTGACACATTTAAGTGAATGGGGCACACGGTTGTGGTGTGGTGGGCCTGTATTTTTTTTTTTTTTTTTGTTAAAACAGGTGGTGAGGTGGTGACCTATAACCACACTGTGTTTTTAAAACCCCCCTCTAAAAAGAGATTCACCCCAGATTACTTTTCAGAGGGGTGGCAAGGGTTGTTGCATGTGAGAATGAGCTCTAAAGAGACACCGTCGCCGAACCATTCGGTTCAACAACAATCTTCCCATAAAATCCACTCTTGTGTACACATCCAAAAGCCCCAAGGCTCCCACTGGGTGCCGCCATCTTGGTTGACTTCAGCAGCCCCAGTGCTGTCACTTAAGGCTGGCCATACATGGGTCAAAATTTTTCGTATGAAAATCGGACGTAAGAATAATCGGCCGATTTTTGCTCTGTTATTGGGTCAATGGCACCGGCCGATTTTCGTGGTTCCTCCCCTTTTCGGTGATCGGGCATGTTGGAAAATTTGTGAAAAACGGCCGATTTTCGACTCGATGGTCGAATCGTACGATGGTTTTTCCAAAAAGCATATGCGTGAGTCCTGACCTGGAAGGAACAGACGTTTTGCCTGTTATATGGGCTGGACTTTATGATTTGGTCGGACGATTTTTGTGGTTCCTCCCCTTTTCAGTGATCAGGCATGTTGGAAAATTTTTGAAAAACGACCGATTTTCGACTTGATGGTCAAATCGTACGATCGGTTTTCCAAAAAGAATATGCGCGAGCCGTGACCTGGAAGGAACAGAAGTTTCGCCTGTTATATGGGCTGAACTTTATGACTTGGTCGGCTGATTTTTGTGGTTTCTCCCTTTTGGTGATCGGGCGTGTTGGAAAATTTGTGAAAAACGACCGATTTTCGACTGGATGGTCAAATCGTACGATCGTTTTTCCGAAAAGAATATGCGTATGAGCTGCGACCTGGAAGGAACAGAAGTTTCGTCTGTTATAGGGGGAGAACTTTATGACTCGCTCAGCCGATTTTCAAAATCATTGATGGCGACCATCAGATTACTGAACGAACGACGTTTTCGATTTTCGGACAAAAAATCGTTCGCAATTCGAACCGTGTATGGCCTGCTTAAAGTAGAATCCTGGGATAAACTTAACTGTAAAAATGTCCCCTCCCTCCTTCCAACACCTATGTTGACTAATCTGTGTAGGAAAGATATAATATAAATATATATATATATATATATATATATATATATATACACACACACACATACATACACCTATTTTCAGTCCCGTCACATGATCCCCTTTCAGCCAGTGGAGGCAGCAGGGGAGAGGAGAGAGCGCTCCGCCATCAGCTGGTAAAGCCTGGGAGCAGTGACATCACCCTTAGGCTCCTATGGCCCATCTATTGTTGCCTTTCCCTCCTCCCCCCTGCAGCCACCTATGAGAGCCGGATCATGTGACCGGATGGAAGGGAGATGAGAGTAGGTAAATATATACAATTTTCTTATAGAGGTAAGTCAGCATAGGTGTTAGGAGGGGGGGAGGGGACAGTTTTTTAAGATTGGGTTTGTTTCAGGATTCCTAGGTGACCATAGTATTCCCTCTTGGTTGTGTAGGGAGGTGAGGGAAGCGTCAAAGGAGCTGGGCCAGCACAGACATAAATGAGAAATTTCCAGAAGAGGAAAGGGCTATGATGTGCAAGGGGAGGAGGTATGTGCTAGGGAGGTGAGCAAACCTTACCCCAGCTCAATTGCTATATTCAAAGTTCAAAGGCCGGAGAACAGTGCTCTGGCTTGGGCGTTCAACTCCCAAAGCAATCAATCTATAGCATTTATATAAGGAGAACTCTTCACAATAGATTTTTTGTTGGCTACATAAAATAAAATGATACTGTGTATAAAATGCTAAAAATGCTGTTTCGGTGTATAAAATGATACTGTGTAAAAATGCAGCCGTTCGGCTAATGCAGCCTTCCTTCCTCACGGTATGCTCAGAATGGGCTATGTGTGTACAGAAAGGGGGTCAGTGAGAATGTAACGCCTGTACCTGTTCTTCCTCCACTAGGCCTGGCAGTATTTGGGCACCACTCAGGCAGAAAATGAACAGGAACTGGCAGCGATCAGCGCCCTGCGTAGGTGAGGTGTCCCCTCCTGGTATGGGCTTCCCCTGGCAGTCTTGTTGTGGCCGCTCACCATGTCTGTTTTCTGTCTAAGGTGCCTGGAGTTACGGCCGGACAATCTGAATGCGTTGATGGCTCTGGCGGTGAGTTTCACCAACGAATGCCTCCAGCAGCAGGCCTGTGAGACGCTGCGGGAATGGATCAAGCACAACCCGAAATACAGCCACCTGATGAAAGAAGAGGGCGCTGGGAATGAGGCCAGAAAACGATCGCTGGGCACACTGCTGTCAGAGTGAGTGTATACCGCTGGTTGTTACAGGGGCAACACACCCGAAATGTATTACTTCTGGTTTTAAGGTTGGCAGAACCTCAGAATAGGAGTTCCCAGCTGCACCTACCTTCCTTGCTATTTATGGTAATTGGAAGGGGGAAGAGCACTGCGCTGCATGTTACGTGTTACTGCCCTCTGGACTCTGTTACTTACTACTAACCCCTGCATGGTGTGTTATTTACTCCTCACCTCTGCAATACTACTGACCTCTACGTTACCCCTTAACTCTGCTTTATTACTGAAAGCAGCACTGAGTGCTACTCCTGACCTCTGAAATACTTCTGACCCTTGCACTCTACGTTACCACTGACTTCTTTGTTGCTCTTGACCTCTGAACTCTGCTTTACTTACTACTGACCACTGCACTCTGTGTTACTTCTGACCTCTGAACTCGGAGATGCTTACCACTGACCAATGCAGTCTGTGTTACTCAACCTATGAATTTTGCGATAGCTACTGCTGACCCCTGTACTGTTATTGCTTACTGCGCAACGGATCAAATTTAAAATCCTAACACTGACGTACAAAGCTGTCCACCATTCTGCCCCGAACTACATCACTGACCTAATATCCAAGTACCGCCCAACACGCACACTCCTCCGCTCCTCACAAGACCTCCTTCTCTCTAGTTCCCTGGTCTCCTCCTCCCATGCCCGCCTCCAGGACTTCTCCAGGGTGTCACCCATCCTCTGGAACTCCCTGCCCCAACCCATTAGATTATCACCTACTCTCCTCTCCTTTAGGCGCACCCTGAAAACCCATCTCTTCAGGGAAGCCTACCCCACCCCTGCTAACTTGCCGACCTCCTCCACTCTTCCTCCCACTCCATCCCCCACAGCTATCTCCTCCTGTACCACTATCCCATCCCTTCTAGATTGTAAGCTCCAAAGAGCAGGGCCCTCGATCCCCTCATGTTTTGCATTGTATTGGTATTGTTCTGTCACATGTTCTGTCCCCCTCTGTAATGTACAGCGCTGAGCCAACTATTGGCGCTTTATAAATACTGTATAATAATAATAATAATAATTTCTTGTGTTACTCCTGAACTCTAATTTACTTACTACTGACAACTGCACTATGTGCTACTCGTGACCTCTGAGATACTAATGACCAGTGCACTATGCTTTACTCCTGACCTCTACTTCACTTACTATTGACTGCTGCACTCTGCATTACTCCAGACCTCTAAAGTCTGCCATACTTACGCCTGACCTCTGAACTTACTACTGACCACTGCACTGTGCGGTACTGCTGACCTCTGAACTGTGCTTCACTTTCTACTAACTGCTGCACTCTTGAGTTACTCCTGACCCCTGCACTTTGTGTTGTTCCTGACCTCTGAACCCTGAGATACTTGCTACTGATCACTGCAATTTGTGTTACTCCTAACCTCTGGGATACTTACTACTGACCCCTGCACTCTGCATTAGGGTTGCACCGATGCATGTTTTTTTTTTACCGGTGAGTTTAAGTACTGTTGCTTGTACTCAAGTACTTGCCGATACCAATAACTGATACCTTTTGGGGTGCGATTTGAGCCCCTACGAAATGAACGGGCTCAAATCACACTGCAAAGAATTGCAAGTGATTTGAACAGGAATGCGGTGCGATTCCTGTCCGAATTGCATGCGGTTTC